TCTGATCAGTCCGATTTCTCTATACATGTAATTGCAACTAACAAAAGCCAACAGGCGTAGGCCTACGGGGGACGCGGAATGAGGTAGAAGTGCGCATGTACGTGCGTGTACATACAGCGCATGCGCCTAGTCGTGTCTTTAACGCTGTTCAGACAACTGAATTTACATTGTCTAAACACGGCGTTTATTTTTGGTGTGAAAATCCAGTCTACATCCATATATTATTCGTAAAATAAGCTTAAATATAGCCACTTACAACATGAGATTGGAATTTCATCGTCACAAACAAGAAAAAGGAAGAAGAAATAGAATTCACGTTTTAAGCCGCTAATTAATTAACAGGCGTGTAATTTCCCGATGATAAACACTTAACCACGTTCATCTCTAAACGCCGTACATGGTCATATAATATGTTGAATGTGTTCAGTTTATCGCTTCAAACGTTCTTGGGTTTTACAGTGTACGAGACGCCGTTTGATGCGTCGTTACCTTCTACAAGCATGTTTGCAAAGTGTCGCCCAGGAGCGGTAATACACTTCCCGTACCCTGGTTGTAGGGGCCTACTTAATTGCAAGATAAACCATGCCCAAGCACGTAACAAGCTCTAGTTTTTAAACACAGTACCCAGTCCTTGGTAAAGGGGGGGTTGGAATTTTCCTGTTAACATAATTGAAGAAGGTGAAGATAAATGCAACGCCCCCTTTACAGGAAAATATGCCATCGATATAAAACAAGAATGGGATACCTTTGAGACGCTTGATGGCAGCAAACACAGCGATCCTTCCTGAGCAAATAAAACTTGTAAGTTACCATGTGGGCATGAACAACGTTAGGAAGGTTAACGGTAACACCATCAATATAAATCTTCTGATTGACGACCTCAGGCCATTGTTCAACACGTCGATTTGAAACTAACGTTTCTTTCCTAATCGCACAACTCAAAATGGAAATTAACTTCCGTGGTGTTACCGCGAACCTTCCGTACTTTGTCTGAGGCAAGTGTGAGTACGTACCATTTTTTTACATTTTCCATTTTATAATAATATTCTCTGTTGCAGTTAAAATCGACCAGTTGTGGACCAAATCATTGCTCGAACTTGCCCATTGTATCATGTTCAAAATGGCACCAACACCAGCCGAAACGACAGGCGTGGTTGGTACTACCAAACATCTAAAATCTCCCCACTAAAGATTTAGATTTATGTATGCGACCGCTGTGAGAAATAAGCCAGCTAAGGTATGAACATTTCTCCTTCTTTAAACATTTAAAATTTACATATGTGAGTTTATGGCAAACTGAAGAATTTAAAGCTGGTAATGCAAAAGATTGTAACATATTTTCACAGTATTTGAAATCTGACTTTATATGAAATAAGTTTTGCATTCTGGGTAAAAATAGGTATAATAGGTATAACGTTCCCTGCTAGAGACAAAATTATGTATTGTGTTTTTCCTCTGACTGGGATAATGCTTGAGGGACGCTGTACGGAATGAAACAAAAATCACTTCAAGCGAAATTGATCTGTCGGCCTAAGTGCATTATCGCCAATAACACACTCAGCTATGAAGCACCTGAAATACAAACAAGCGAAAGCGCTGTGCATTAGGCGACCTTTAGGTGTAGACGCACATCAGTTAATTCCATGCAGTGGTAGTGTGAAGTGCAGATTTGTGGCGGACAAAACCTTGAAGATTGGCAAAGCCCACCTGGGTCGCATTATTAAAACGTCACCGCAGAGTGAACATAAACTTCGTCTATTCCACAATGAGCAAAAAGGCCGTTGTTTATATAGACGAGGGTCGTGGATGCGTTCCTTGCATCTGCAGCTTTTAAACTCCATCGAAAGAACCTCTAGACATTTTCCGGTGTCGACAATTACCACGTTTCATCCTGTGAATTTATCAATTTGTTGTGCATTAGCTCATGACTTGGCATTTGGGCAAAAGGTTATCCATCGTGCGTCGTAGTTGTTCCCTCCTCTGCTGTCCGAAGCAAGATTTGGAGAGGGTTTTTTTGGCGCAAACGCCACCAAGATTCGAGTCTTCACGTGATTAAGTGAGGGGGGGGCCCTCAGCTCTCCTGGTAAAGGGAGGGAATTTATCAAACACTAACATCGTTGCGCTCAGCACCCGAGTTTTCCATGCTTTAATTTTACTCCTGTTCACTCAGTCACTAACGTTCTTGCTCAGAGTGTTTATAAAAAAACTACCAGGCCATATCTAACTTCGTGTCCCGATCTTCAGTTCAAAGCTCAGACTATTTAGCAACGCCGAGATCTGCAACACGCCAGGCAGAGCCACGTGTGTATGACATGAATTCGACTGGTAATTTAAAAAGCCGTGGATTTTATTGCAAACACTCTTTGGCGCACACTGCAAACCAACGATGCATCCTTTAAGTTAAGGTCGTTCACTTATAAATCGTCACCAACACCACGAACTGACACATATGTTCACTTTTGTGCCAGTTTGTGAAAAGCGTGATTAGAGCAGTTTTGGTTTCACGAAGTGACACAAATGTGTGCGTGCACATATTGTACACTCGCGCATTATCGAACAATCTCGTTTTCATGAAGAAGCACAAATGTGTGTTTTGAAAATATAGCATAGAAAAAAGCTTTAAATGTCTAAAATGATTTTATTTTACCCGTAAATGGGTTACTAAACTGAAAAAAATGCTCTTAAAGCTCGTAACTGTGTAAATTAAGGAGAACGACAATTTCTGAATACGGCAAATCACGGAGCACGTGACGCAAGACATTTGTGCCTTTTCGTGAAAACGAAAATATCATATTCCTAAAAAAAAAACGCGTTGAAGCGCGCACACATCTACATATTTGTGTTATTTCGTGGTGTTGGTGACGAAATATAACCCAAGTCGAGCTATATTACTGCCCTTATGTGCTGGCCCGTATAAATACCAGGCCTGTATGTAGTGGATGCGCGAATTCCATAATTCTTATTTGAACCAAGTACTGCCCTATTACTCAACACACAACAATTCTCCTCAAGATTTCGTACACGATGCACCCCACTTGTTTTTGTGCCAGCAAGTTTAAAGTTGACTCCAGCCTTGTAACTGTTTGGTCCCAGGTTTTGCCTCTGAAAAGGTTATATAAAGCATTCACTGTAACAAATATTTTTGATGTCTAGTTTTTGACGATGCTTTCTGAAGGCAGGACAAGGAAAAGAGAACGATCTAGACTGTTTAACGACTCCATGCATGGCCCTAAACTGATCAGTAAGTGGAATGGTATAGAAGCTACAGAGTAGAGCCTGCAGAAGGTCCATAACTGGTACCGGCACATGACTTGTATTCCTCCACAATCAGTCCTGTCAGTAACAAATGCGTAGGTCACCTCAGTTGAAAGCAAACCCCTTGTGGCTTATGAGTAACCTTGCCATTTGCAAACTCGCGGTCGTCTAATATTGACTGCATTGAATTAAAGGCGACCATGCACGACGAGGACGCTCTTTCTCACGAGGACAAAACCCCTCACGTGCGAATGGTTATGGTGCGGGGGGATTCGGAAACAGGACTTAGTGGGTATTGCATTGTATTCAACCAAGATGGTTGCAAATATTTCTCCTCTGTGGTCCTGCTTTCCTAACTCCCACGATGAATCTTTGCTGTTTGCCCTGCTGTAACAGTTCTGAGTTCTTCTAACAGACTATGCCTCGTGCTTCATCCGCTTTCAATGTTTACAAATATTTCACTTAAGCCGTTTTGTTCGTCCTTTCTGCTTGTAATTCTTATTACTACTAATAGCAGCGATTCACTATGCAATGGGCAAACCATTTGTTCAGCTTCAGCGATCGATCTATTATACATAAATACGGTGTTCATGCTACTCACGCGGAATTCCTGTTGTTAATCATCCATTCATTGCTCTTGAGCACTTCAAATCCAAATGGGACCTAATAATTAAACATTACATCTCCAAGGAAAATCCAATCTGCGTTTTATGCAGGGACATCAACCGTTTCCCACACTGCTCTGCGATCATGGTCTTTCCATCTAACCTCTTGGTGGCGCTCTGTAGACCTATGTGTGTTGCACCAATTTGTCCAGCCCTATGTTAAGGGTAAAGGAAAACCTGAAAACAGAGTCCCTCCTTGGTCCAAATTTTATCAATTCATGTTAAATGTTGACTCAGACCAAGCCAGGCCGAAATTTCTGATTTGGTTCGAGTAGGAAGAGCTAAATCGCATCACCTTTAATGTTCATATCAAATCATAGCTCACACAATTATGAGCTATGATGCTGTTGCATTTGTACTAAATTAGCGTATGAAGTTTGATATAAGTCGTTTCAAGTTCCGATTCATCACACCTTTGATACAAAAATAAAAAACAAAAATAAAAAAAATGTAGAAAGATAAAATTTAATTGGATATCATATCATATAAATTATGCATTTGATGTTAACTGGCCTAGCTTGTGCGCCAACTCTCAACACAACATTAAAGTGACACATATATACAATCGGTTTTTTGCTATTGAACGACAAATCCGTTTAGGAACTTTTTCTCTCTCACTTTTTTAAAAACCTTTCTGCTCGTTAATATGCTCTTCTACTTGCGAAAACGTGCGCAATTGCGTATCCCCTTGATCCCTTTAGATTAACCACTGCGTCGCCGCTTTGAATTTAAAATAAAATTAGACATTAGAGTATCGAATTTCGAATTGCGTTATATTTGTAATTGCATTATTTTTAATCCGAAAGGCCAGAGAAATGATTAAATACGTCCTTGGGTTCAGATTTTCACGGAAAGCTGATTATAAACTCGAATACAGCGACATTTTTGCCCCTGTTTAGCTGAGCGTTTATTATTGCCGGCCGCGTTTAAGCTTGTCAAGCGCATCATTTATTACCCCCAAAATATGTATTGATTTACATGTATAAGAGACGGTCCGCCGACGCCAGATAGAGGGAAAAGACGCGAAACAAACACTGGATGAACTGGGAGCTCTTTTGACATCGATTGTCCAGGTAGCAAGAAGGGTGAATAGCATGTATTGCGAACACTCTCAACGTGGTAGCAAAACCACATGGCGATACATTTCAGATTTTGTTGGTGGTATTTATTTGTCGGTTTTATTCTACTTTGTTAGTATTGATCGTCTACTATTCTATTAAATCCACAACGAAATTGTTTTCTTGGGGTTCTGAAAATTGTGGTACCAAATCTTTGAATAAATTCCGACTGATAAATTAATGAAGGCTACGTTCATATGCACAAGAAATTGCATTGAAGACATAATAAGTTAAAGCGCGTATCCCCCAAACATTAAGGTTTCCTCGGCGAAAAACTAGAAAGATTTTCATAAAGTTTCATAAAACCCAGACTTTGTTTTGAGTGCCTTCCTTTTACGGTCCTAAATAGTTTGCACACATCATATATGTCTACATCATCCATTTGTTGGTCTCCTGATGAGGCTATTTTCACCTGCCAAAAAAGCGACAGATAATCATGGAGTCACATAAAAACAACCCAGCTGCACGCCGACCAAGCTGTACATAAATACATGTACAGAGTACGCTTAGGCCTGTTGTGCATTTTGTCTCTCATTTTTGCTGGCCTGTTATTATTGTATTATTGTTTCATCAGCCATTTTGTTTCCAAAGTCTGGAATTGGCACTACTTCCTTTACTTGTAGCTCTGATGTGAGTTGTCATGCAGCGCCCTCATCCATCCAACAGCTCCTTTCTTCGAGTCGAATGGGTGAAATAATTGCAGATTATTCATTGTTTGAGTCAGATTCTGAAGCGAATTGATTTATGTGAGTGCATTCTATATTTAGCGGCAAAATGTTAATTTGTTGTTTTGTAATCTTTGCTTAATGCTCTAATGTCTTCCACATTTTTTGTGCTGTTAGTACTTTATGATAGAGAGTTATTTCAGATACAGGGAAGTTCCGGCCGGTCATTCGTTAGGGTGCCCTCTGTTGACAGGTAAACTGTTGTTGGTCAAAGATAAAGAGTTTTTATGATTCCAGTGATCGGTAAATAATTCCCAAGTAGCAAATTGTTTCCCAAATGAATGCAAACTGAAAAAAATGTCCCCAGGTCCCATTTACCGTAGAATTGGATGCAAACGCAAAAGGTAAGTTTACAGATTTATTCATTGTGGAAACTTGTGATAAATTTGATGGATTTGTGTGGAGAATTAGGCAGGTTTTTGTTTAAAGCAATATCATAATGTTTACTATAGTAATGAGCCACCAACACCGACATTACCAACTCTTACACCACAACCATCACCACCAACCTCATTGGCCTGCTTAGACATTGTATAATGGTGCGTTAATGAGACTAACAAATGTCACCTAGGTAGAAAGTATCACTAAATATTGTTTAAGCAATGCTCAGTACACGTTACAGATTTGTGGATTAAGGAAAGTAGCAGTTATTTCATTTGTAAATATACAGCAATTTGTTTGTGCAATACAATCTGGACATGGATGATTTATGTGAGCTTGGGCGTTGCTCCATTCTTGTACACTGACAAAGGAAAGGACAAGATTTAGTCCTTAAAACATACCGGTCCTCAAATTCGGTGTGCAAATAATATTTTGCTTTAATAATGTACAATACCTGATACATCGATTGAAATTTGGTACTTTGTTTTTTATTTGCCTGCATTTTTATAATTGGATCCCATGATGGTGCTTGGGCTATTTGCACCTTTTTTTTTTACGAGCGAGACACTTTTCCTGTGTCAGATAAGTGTCCCACAGCAGACTACAACTCTTTAATGTTGATAAAGGGGAAAGGGTAAACTTGACATGACAAATGTTTGTTGGAAAACAGAAATTGGAGTAAAGAAGACTCAACTTGTTTCAGTCAACAATTTGAACCTATTTTCCCTTTTCGATCAGTTTGTATGCGTTCCATATGTGGCCATCACAGAATCCTCATGAATCCACACCACGGTGATGCTTTGCTCGACCAAACTAGGACTGGCAAAACAACATTTGCTGACCTCTCACTTGTCCGTCTGATGGATGATAGTCACAGGTGACCAAAGCCACAGGTTTGGGGCAATTGTCGGGCACGGAGATGTCGCTGAAGGTGTTCTCGACACATACCGCCACTCTCCTAGCTACATCGAAGCCGTGCATGCCGTCTGCACACTCGCACCATCGGTACATTTGATCTGGGTCCTCTGCGCATGAGAGAGAAGAACCACGGGGTATTATTTTATATCTCCTTCGGCACCACGAAGTGACACTCACCCGAGTGCAGTGGATGGATTTAACGCACAACGCAGAGCTGTCAATTTGTAAAATCGTTTAGGATTCACTTCCCCCGCCCTTAACTCGAATAGAGATCTAAAATAGTCGGTCTCTTTTGGTCGGGGATACAATCAACCTTGTATCTTCATGGCCAATGCTAGAGAAGGAACGCTCACGTAGCACACGGGGACAAGGATGTTCAATGTTTTAGGCAGTCATTCGCTCGTCGTCCAGTGCCCTAACAGGGCGCTGGGAAGGGCTGATGGCCTTGCACATATTTTTGGGGGAAGGAAATACGTCACGCGGGGTCAAAGCTAACGATGCGCAGAGCATCGTGGGTAAATTTTTTGCCCAGCACGCGAGCTTGCTCAATAGGCAGTTATCAATTCTATATTTTTTTCTTTTTTTTCTCATTGCTGAAAATATTGTCACTACACTTTATTATTTCATTCAAAATTGATCAAGATAACCAATGATTTGAAATATATCGCCAAAAGAAACTTGATCAGGGATACTTAGTGAGAAGATACGGTGATTGTACCAAGACCATCCATCTACATTGGCATGTAATTGTGTGAAATAAATTTTATTGTTTGAATTTCTTTTTGTTGTTCGATTATCTTGTTTAATTTTAATTGCATTAGAATAAATTTTTTTGTTGTCTATGATTACGTTTTTCCACATGTAATGAACATTTGCTTTGTCTGTCTTTGTAATTTTCATGTATTGTTTTGTTTTGTTTGTCTTGTTTTATGTACGGCATTTCCTTGTAAGCCCGAGGGTCCAGAGGTATGCAACCATAATTACCCATTTGTTCTTGATTTACTGTTCTTTTGATTTACTTTTCTACATGTATATTCCTAATAATATTTATCGTTTGTAAATTTATTATATCAAAGATATGGCATTAAGGAAAAAAAGTTGTTGTTGATATTGATGTTTTTATCATATAAGCCAACACTTTCGTCTGTGCCAAAGCATTGCCACTGGTTAATCAAAAACTTCATGAACGCTTCGCCAAAAGGAAGTTATAACTTCGCAGCTGGAGGTCGTGCACACAGGAACCAATCACAGTGCAAAGCCATCAGCCCTTCCCAGCGCCCTGCTGTCACAGCAACCTCGTTTCTACGAGTACGAAGTTCTGTGTTCGCTCCCACTATGCCTTGCGAGCCAGGAATGTGCACTCGTCGCTTGGGGACATGGTTGCCGTGACATCTCTTAGTGACTTGCTAATGACAAATGATGCATACCATAGCTGCAAAGATGGCATACTTCATTGCGGGAGGTGTGCCTTGAGTAGGCCATGAAGATCTACGAAGGCGTGAGATTCTGTTTTTCCACACTAGGTATGTAAGGTATGGGTGGGTGTGTGTTTATATTGCGCTTTTCACTTAAGGTATACCCACAAGGATCTCTTGGGATACTTCAACGGTATGTCACAAATATTTCACAAAATAGATATTTGGAATTAACTCAAAAAGGAGGAACTATACTTCACACTTTTTCAGTATACAAAGACCACAATAAAGTAAGCTACACGGATACAAACGTGTGTAGTGACAAACAACAAAGTGCAGATGCAAAAACACCGAGGAGTGACGAATAAAAGAAACATGAAGCATGAACCATCTTACCTTGAGCGAGAGAGAAGTTCCAGTCCTTTATTCCGTTCTCGAAGTAATATTGAAACATGTAAGGATCTGCCGTATATATGGTCGTAACTGTTGAACAAATTCACACAATTTTTCTAAGAGATTTCGCAACCCCTTCGGCTCAATTTAAAGTAGCGCCCATTTTTGGCCTAAGAGCGCCCCTTTTGTTTTCATATCTTCAAGTTGTTGGCCAGAATGGGTAAAAAATAATGGCACAATAAGACTGAATTAAATATTGCAGTTTTCAATCTATGATTTTCCTTGCTCTGAGTCAGTTATTACAGATGGGACATTTCTTCCTTTATAATTCGCCTGCTGTTTTTAATTTAATTCTTTCTTTAGACATTTGTGGTATTTTAAGTCTAACCTGTTCTGCAGCAAACCCCATGTATTGTGCTTTGTACCCAGTATTCTTTTGTTAAGATGTTGCCCAGAGGGCTGACTGGTTATGTAATGGCTCTTGTATTATTTGCTGAGCGCACATGTATTTAAGAAGTGGGTTGTACCATGCTTGGGTACACTCATCACACCACAGCCACCCGTTCAGCCAGGGGCTCTGTTCTTTTTTTCAACTGATGGGTGTCGCCAACCTTCATCACTCCAGCCAATGTCCAATTTGCCCACAGCTATACACTGTCTGCAAATACAGTGTGCCACCGCTGTGCTCTTCTCCTTCACGTTGACGGCTTGCCACATGCATTGCATGTAGAGACAGCGAGTCTTCGCTGTACTCTTCTCCTTCAAGTTGACGGCTTGCCACATGCATTGCATGTAGAGACAGTGAGTCTCCGCTGTTCTCTTCTCCTTCAAGGTGATGGCTTGTCACATGCATTGCATGTAGAGACAGTGAGTCTCCGCTGTTCTCTCTCTCCTTCAAGTTGACGGCTTGCCACATGCATTGCATGTAGAGACAGCGAGTCTCCGCTGTACTCTTCTCCTTCAAGGTGACAGCTTGCCACATGCA